GATTGAACTGAGGACCTTGCACTTGTGAGGCAGATGGCAGCATACTGAGCTAAATCCCTGGCTCCCTAAGAAACTTGTTTGGCATTGACTACTATGAAATTGCTGTTTTTATAGGTCAAAAACTATCAATGCAAGTAGTTTGTGATTATGGTTGCTGGTATTTTGATGCTAACTTTATGTAATTAAAATACATGTTGGATGAGTGTCTTCCTAAAGATAGACTGGAGGATAGCACTGTTCTTAGAATGAAGGGGAGTCGTGTTTCCAGAAACTGCATTAGCCCCTCTTGTAAGGGTACTTTAGAACACGCTATCAAGCCAGCATGTTGGTCTTCATTTTATTAGACTTTTAGTTCTCTCATTTTTAAAATAGAGATTTAAAATAGAGATTATAATCATAAGAATTATGTAAGTAAAAAATGTAGAGATATTTTGCTAGATACTCTGTGTACTTTGTCTGTCTTATTAGTAACTGATATAGAACAAAGAAAAAATAAGTATATCATTCTGTCAGTCTATCAGAATAGATTTCCTAACCTTTCCCATTGTGCTGTCTGCTTTAAAGCATTTGCTGTCCTTCTTCTTTTTTTTTTTTTCAAAGCTAGGGATTAAACTCAAGGGCATGCTAGGTATTCTCTATCACTGAACTACATCTCTTTCCCCAGATCTCTTTATCCCTTTTTTTTCCCCCAGGTACTGGGGATTGAACCCAGGGACTTTGCACTGTTTTATGTGACATTTTATCAGCATTTCTTCTCTTTCATTTTCTTCATTGTTCTTTTCTGCCACCTCTCTTTCCTTCAGCAGTGGTGTTGGCAGATGGAGCCACGATCATAGCCAATCCTATCAGCAACCCATTCAGTGCTGCTCCCGCAGCAACCACGGTGGTGCAGACCCACAGCCAGAGTGCTAGCACCAATGCTCCCGCCCAGGGCTCATCCCCCCCGGTCAAGCATCCTCCAGAAGAAACCTGCCACAGATGGGTAAGTAGATCTGGAGGTGCTAAGTGATGCCTCTAATTCTGGATGTAACTGGCATAAACAGTAGGCTCTCATAGCCAATGCAGGAAACAACCTAAGCTTTCATCTCTGTGACATTTTTAAATTTCCTCCAAAACATCCTGACTTGAGGATTATTTGGGAGACTCTCACCCAGGTCAGACTGTAAGAAATTAGGAATCTTCAAGTCAGTGGGGTTTTCAGTTTCTAAGTGTCTTGTGCTGCTGTTGGAGATCTCGCTGGTTCTCGAAGTTTAATCACACAGCTGTAGCATAAAGCGTTGCTAAGGACAAGTCGTTTTCAAAGAGTATTGAGGCTGCTTGTAGTTGATGGTGTTTTGTGTTGTTATGGAAGTTTCTCCATTGATGGGTCATAGGAAGGTGTGTGCTGTGCTATTACATATTCTGGTGGTGGGAGGTGAGCAGCACATTTCAGAGAAGGGAGTTTCTGTGGCTCTGCTGAGCTGATAACATCAGCATTGGAAGATTAACCACTGAACAGTTCACCCTGAGCTCACTGGGCAGTGTGTTTGTTTATGTCCTGACTGTCCCCAGCTTCACTCAGGCAGGTGTCCTTTCAACCAGTCCATTCTTATTTGCATGAGATAGACTAGTACATTTATTTGTTTTATATCCACTATTTTGTGCATACTTTTTTATTTAGAACGTTGTATACATCTTTGATGTTTGTTTCTAGTGAACTCTAATAAATTCTGGTTATTTTACTGATTTGTGTTTATTTGTGAAAAAAACCCCTATAATTTTGTGCTATAATCTATTATAAAAACTTATAAGTACATTAGATGTAGTTTGTTCTTGTTTGTTGTTTTTTTTCTTTTTTTTTTTTTGGTTCCAGGGATCAAACTTGGGACCTTCTGCTTGCGAGGCAGGTGGCAGAACCACTGAGCTAAATCCCTGGCCCTAGATATAGTTTTTATACTTCTCCAGAACTTAGTGATATTCTTATATAATACAAAACAGACACTGAGGCTGAATAGGAAGGAAGTCCCAAAAGATCTGAAAAAGAAAAAACTGAAAAGGGGAGAAATGTTGACATTTCAGAGAGGAAGTCTGTGTTATGAAATGGAAAGACAAAAAAGACATCTTCTTATTGTCAACTATTCATAATATAGAAATGATAGAACTTGAAAGAAGTGAAACTAAACAAATTCCAATAGTGGTTGATGAGTATAAAAATTCTATGGGTGGTGTTGACAGAGTTGACCAACATCTAACAAGCTGTCTATCCTGTAATCAAAAGTGAGGAAAAAATATTACTATAAAATAGTTATGCACCTTCTGGACCAAACAATATGGAACTTGTTTATTATTTATTCAAAACAAGGGGGTTCATTTACAGTTTAGATTGGGTCTGATAGACCAAATAATTGAAAAATACGGGATAGCAAAATACCAACCAGGATGTCCTTCATCAACATCTTCACCATTACATTTAGTGGATAGACATTTTATTGAAATTATACCACCCACAGAAAAAAATGAAAGGCCAACATGACAGTATAAAGTGTGTTCAAAGAAAGACACTAGGGCTGGGGATTTAGCTCAGGGGTGCCACCGCCTGCCTCCCAAGCACAAGGTCCTGAGTTTGATCCCTGTATCAAAAAAAAAAAAGACAAGGCAAAAAGAATTCTGAAAGAGACTAGATATTACTGTCCAGATTGTAACATTGCATTGAGTGTTGAATGTTGTAAAATGTTATTGAAATCAGAAAGATTATTGAATAAATTCAATAAAAGTATTGTTTTTATATTTTATATTATCTTATAAAAATAAGCAATTGTTGGTCATCCTGTATTTAAATAATTGATCTGGCAAGTGGCCAAAGCATAGCAAACTTGCTGGAAGTAGGGTTTTCAGATGTGCAGAGCTTTGCATGGACCAGAGTTCCTGACTTTAGTGATTATGAGTACTTTTTAAAGTTTTTTTTGGCATAAGTCAGCTTATGGTGAAGTAACCCGGTCAGTAAAAATACAGAGAGGGGGCCGGGGATTTAGCTCAGTGGTTTTGCCACCTGCCTTGCAAGCAGAATGTCCCGAGTTTGATCCCTGGTACCAAAAAAAAAAAAAAATACAGAGAGAGTTTATAGTTAAGATGGCAGATTGAGGTGCCCCTGTCTCTTCAGTATACATACTCTTATTTTTTTCTTTCTGAGTGTGTAACTTTTTGTTTGTGTGGTA